GAACTGCGGCCAGGGTGGGAAATTGCTGTGACTAAAGCCCTGCCTCTTGTGACCCTGTAAACAGCGGGCCAAAGTGATGCCTGAAATCCTACATAATATAGATTTTAAGGCATCATATGTGACACCCCCCGAGCTCTCCATTCCCATATCAGGGAATGTGTGTGTGTGTCAAACACCGGGCGGCAGCGGAGCCCAACAAGGGCTGTTGGTAACAACCAGGGGCTGTTGGGATGAACCGCCTCGGTGTCCCGGGGCCCGCAGGCTGCCGCCCATATCCCGGTACCGCTGCCGGGCCTGATCCCAATCCCGATCCTGGTCCTATGCCCAGGGCCCCCCTCCGATCCCGATCCTGGCTGCGGCTGCCCGATCCCGGTCCTATGACAAATGCCGAGGGCCCCGTTCCCAATCCCAACCCAACGCCAACCCCGATCCCGGTACCATGGTCGGAGCCGCCACTTCCGCCTCTCCGCGAGCGTCACCTCCGTGGACCAATCGCGGCGCGTCCCGCCCCGTGACCCCGCCCACACCCCGGTCTGGCACACTCGCAGACCAATCGCGGCGCGGCCCGCCCCCATGACCCCGCCCCTCCCAGCCCGCGCGTGCGCGCTGACGGGGGCCCGGCGGGAGACGTGTCCGCGCGCCGCTCCCGCCAAAGGCCCTGAGGGGAACGGGCGGAGGGGAGGGGACGGCACCGTGTGAGGGACCGCCCGGGCCCCGATCCCAATCCCGGCCCGCGATCCCGATCCCGGCCCCGATCCCGGCCTCTGATCCCGATCCCGGCCCCGATCCCGGCCCCCGATCCCGGTCCCGATCGCGATCCCGATCCTGGCCCCGATCCCGATCCTGGCCCCGATCCCAGCCCGTTATGAGGCGACGCAGCAGCACATAACGTTCTGTGTTAAATTATCCGGAAGTAAAAAAAAAAAAAAAAAAGTAAAAAAAGTCAAAAATTCCGCTGAAAAAGATCTCAAGGGAACAATCTTGCCTGTTTGGGCTTTTTGAGAGATTTTATTGGATGGGGGGTTTTTTGGAGGGTTTTGGGGCTGGGTTTTTTGGGGGGTTTTGTTTTTTTTTTTTTCTTTTTACAGCCTGCGGCCGAATGTTTGCGTGGAGGACAAAGCAAAAAGAAAATGAAACAACAAAACAATAATAATAATAATAATAAAAATAATAATAATAATAAAACAAGAAACCCCTAAAAACAAACAAGTCAAAAGTACCCCTGAAAAATATCTGAAGGGGGTAGTCTTGCCTCTTTGGGAGGTTTTTTGAAGGATTTTGGGGGTTTTTTTATTCTCTTTGTGAAGCATCAGGTATTTCTGCTGAAATGGCAACGCTCCCAGCTGTGACCATGTAACAAATAAGTAGTAGTAAAGTAATTTACTCATCAAATTAGCAGTAGTAATAGTTG